CCTCACGCTTTGTAGCCCGCTGACTAGGCCCTGCAAGGACAGCCTGGAGGCCCAAGAGTCGGGGGGCCCTCTGCAAGAGCGCCTGGGGGTCTATGCATGGGGACCTGGGATTCGAAGGGTCGGGCTTGGGGATCGTTAAGATATTCCTCTGCTGCTTGGTAGGGTTCCTTTCATGTTCTCTAGGGCCGACCCCATCCAAGGCTCGCGCGCGCCCTCGGAAAGCCATCCCCGCCCCTCTGGAGCCGATTTTGGGTAGCCTCTCAAGTCGACTTCACGCGAAACTATACAGGGTCAAACACAAGCCCTGGCCGAAGGGGGTGCAACAGCCCAAACCAGCAAGCCATAGAAAACACACCCAACGGCAACACAAATACCGAACGCGATTGCCATACATCCCCTTGAGAGCACAACGGAAGGCTTTCCTCATGGGTTTTCAGAGATTTTCACATGTTGGCCATTCTGGCCTCCGAACGCACAAGACGGCCCACAGGAAGAAGGCTCTACGACAACTCAAGAATGCCTGAGAGCACCCCAAAACGGCCCAGGCGGTTCCAAGACGGCCTCCTCAAGGCGGCCCTAAGGGGCCCCAAGACGGCCCAAGACGACCCCAAGGTGGCTCAGAGCCCATCAAGAAGACCCAAACAGGGGCCCAAGAGGAGGGAATTGGCCTTGACAGCCATCTCCTACAGGATTGCCTCAAGACCCCCAGCATGCCCCAACGAGGCAGAAAGAGATCCCAAGAGGCCTCCCAGAGATACCCCTGCAGACAACCCGAGGCCTCCCAAGCAGACCTCAAAAGGCTCCCGATAGGCCCTCGAGTGGCCATTGAGAAGCTTCGATATGCGTGATTAACGCAATCTCCTTCACTCTGCGCTGACTCGCTGGCGTGGAGGCGGGGTTTGTCGCAGGCAGCTGGATACATCGGAATATGTGTGTGCCTATGTCTGTGTTTGCATGCATGCATGCATGTATGTATGCGTGCGCGCATGCATGCATGCATGCGTGCATATACGTATGTATGTATGCCTGTCTGTCTATCTGTCTGTCTGTCTGTATGTATGTATGTATACATGAGGGAGCGTGATTCACCGCCGCTTTACTGTTGAAAATTCCCCCCCCCTTCCTCCGGACCCCCCTGGGGGTCCCCCCCCAAATTCCCCTCCCCTGGGGAGCCCCGCCCCCCCCCCCCCCCGGCAAAACCCCACCCCCCTGACCCTGTCCCCCCTCCCTCCGGAAAACCGAGGATCCTCGAGGGTCACTAATTACGGTTCAAAGCCCCCTTCCCCCGCCCCCTTTGAAAAATACGGGGGGGGCTCAGTTACCGGATCGACCCCCCCCCCCAGAAAACCAGATCGTGGGGGGGTCCGGTTCGAAGCCCTGCCCCCCCCCGCTTCCAGAAAAAGCGGGAGGGAGGGGGTCACGGTTCGAACCCCCCCCCCTTCGGAAAACGGGGGGGATCACTACGGGTTCGAACCCCCCCCTAGAAATCCTTAGGGGTGTCACTACTGGTTCGAACCCCCCCCTTCCTCCAGAAAACCGGGGGGGTTCACTACCGATTCGAACCGTCCCCCCCCCCCACGCTCACCGCCAGCAAACGACTCCCCGGTCCGTACCACCGTCCGCACCACATCCCCCACTGCTGTCCCCAGCACCACTCCCCACTTTCTCCACGGCCCCAACCACTGCCCCACTGTCCCCACTGTCCCACTGTCCCACTGTCCCCGCCGCTGTCACATTGAGCTGTCCCACTGTTCCCACCACTGTCCCCACTGTCCCCACCACTATCCCCACTGCACCTCTGTCCCATTGGCCCACCGCCGTCCTCGCCACCGCCCTCACCACTGTCCCCACCACCTCTGTACCCTCCACTGTCCCACTGTTTCCACCACGTTCTCACTGTCCCCACACCAGTCCCCACCACCACCGTCCCCACCACTGTCCCACTGTCCCCACTGTTCCCACCATTGTCCCCGCTGACCCCACAACTGCCGTCACCAGTGTCTCACTGTCCCCACTCTCCCCACCATTGTCCCACCACGGTCCCACTCTCCCCACTTTCCCCACGGTCCCCACCACTGTCCCACTGTACCCACCACTGTCCCACTGTCCCCGCCGCTGTCCCACTGTGCTGTCCCACCGACCCCACTGTCCCCATCACTGTCCCACTGTTCCCACCGTCCCCACCACTTTCCCCAGTGTACTACTGTCCCACCACTGTCCTCACTACCACCTTCACCACTGTCCCCACCACTACCGTCCCCACCACTGTCCAACTGTCCACACCCCTGTCCCGCTGACCCCTCATCACTGTCCCCACCACCATCGTCCCCACCACTGTCCGCACCACTGTCCCACTGTCCCCGCACCACTGTCCCCACCACCACCGTTCTCACCACTGTCCCAGCATCCCCACCATTGTCCAACACTGTCCCGAGGAGCGGGAATCGTTTGCCGGCGGCGAGGGGGGGGGGGTCCGAACCGGTAGTGACCCCCCTTGGTTTTCGAGGGGGAGGGTTCGAACCAGAAGTAACCCTCCCCCTTTTCATGAAGGACTAGGGGGTGGGAGGGGTTCGAACAGGTAGCGACCCCCCCGGTTTTCGAGGGGGGGGCGGTAATGATCCCCCTCGGTTTTCCGGGGGGGGGGGGCGGGTTGGGAACCCCCAGTGACCCCCCCCTTTCGTATGTATGTAGAAAACGCTCTTTCGTATGTATGTATGTATGTATGCATGCATGCATGCATGCATGCATGCATGCATGTATGTATGTATGTATGTATGTATGTACGTATGTATGTATATATGTATGTATGTATGTATGTGTATGGTTGTATGTATGTATGTATGTATGCATGAATGGATGGATGGATGTATGGATGTATGTATGCATATATATATATATGTGTATGTGTGTATGTGTGTATGTATGTATATGTATATGTATATGTATATGTGTATGTATGTATGTATGTATGTACGTATGTATGTGTGTATGTACGTTTGTATGTATGCGTGTATGTATGCATGTATGTATGTATGTATGTATGTATGGATGGATGCATGTGTGTATATGTGTGTATGTATGTATGTATGCATGTATGTATGCATGTATGTATGTGTATATGTATGTATGTATGCATGTATGTATGTATGTATGCATGTATGTATGTATGTATGTATGTACGTATGTATATATGCCTGTCTGTCTGTATGTGTGTATGTTTGTTTGTATGTATGTATGTATGTATGTATGTATATGTGCATGTTTGTGTGTGTATGTTTGTGTGTATGCTTGTGTAGAGGTATGCATACATGTATGTATGTATGTATGAAAGAGCGTGTTCTACCGCTGCTGGCGGAAAACCGGGGGGGGTCACTACCGGTTCGAACCCCTCCCCCCCCCCTCCGGAAAACCGGGGGGGGTCACTACCGGTTCGAACCCCTCCCCCCCCCCCCCCCCCCCCCCTGCTCATAATGATAAAGGGGGGGGGGGGTCACTAAGGGTTCAACCCTCCCCCCCCCCCCCCCCCCCCCCCCCCCCCCCCCTTTCACTACCGGTTCGAACCCCTCCCCCCCCCTCCGGATCCGGAAAACCGGGGGGGGTCACTACCGGTTCGAACCCCCCCCTCCCTCGAAAACCGAGTGGGGGTGCGGACAGTGGTGGGGACGGTGTTGGTGGGGACAGTGGTGAGGGGATAGCGGGACAGTGGTGGGGACAGTGGGACAGTGGTGGGGACGGAAGTGGTGGGGACAGTGGTGGGGACAATGGTGGGAACAGGGGGGGACAGTGGACAGTGGTGGTGACGGTGGTGGTGGGGACAGTGGTGTGGGGACAATGGGAATGAGGTGGAAACAGTGGGACAGTGGAGGGTACAATGGTGGTGGGGACAGTGGTGAAGGCGGTGGCGAGGACGGCGGTGGGACAATGGGACAGAGGTACAGTGGGGACAGTGGTGGGGACAGTGGGGACAGTGGTGGGAACAGTGGGACAGCTCAGTGGGACAGCGGAGGAGTCAGTGGGACAGTGGGGACAGTGGGGATAGTCGGGCAGTGGTTGGGGCCGTGGAGACAGTGGGGAGAGTGGAACCGTGGTGGGAACAGTTCTGGGGACAGCGGGGACAGTGCGACAGTGGTGGGGCCACTGGTGGGGACAGTAGGGGCGGTGGTGGAACCAGTGGGGACAGCGGTGGTGAGGACAGTGGTGCTGGGAACACCAGTGGGGGATGTGATGCGGACGGTGGTGGGGACCGGGAGTCGTTTGCTGGCGGTGAGTAGGGGGGGGAGGGGGGGGGGGGGGGGGGGGGGGTGGGTTCGACCGGTAGTGACCCCCCCGGTTTTCCGGTCTCCGGAGGAGGGGGGGGGGGGGGGGGGGAGGGTTGAAACGGTAGGACCCCCCCCGGTTTTCGAGCGGGAGGGGGGGGGGGGGGGGGGGGGTTAGGGGAGGGGGGGGGTTTTTTGCCGGGGGAGAGGGGGGGGGGGGGGGGGGGGGGGGGGGGGGGGAGGGGTTCCAGCAGGGGGGGGGGGATTTTCGGAGTGAGGGTGGGGGGGGCGACCCCGGGTTCGGAGGAATTGGGAGGAAAAGGTTGGCAATTTTCCACAGTAAAGCGGCGGTGGATCACGCTCTCTCGTATGTATGTATGTATGTATGTATGTATGTATGTATGTATGTATGTATGTATGTATGTATGTATATATATGCATGCATGCATGCATGCATGCATGCATGTATGTATGTATGTATGTATGTATGTATGTATGTATGTGTGTATGTATGTGTGTATGTATGCAGGCAGGCAGGCAGGCAGGCAGGCAGGCAGGTAGGTAGGTTTGTACGCATGCATGTACATTGTAGATTGTATGAATGTCTGTCTGTCCGTCTGTATGCATGTATGTATGTTGTTATGTGTGTAAGTCGTCCTTCTGGGACCCTAATGGACATCTCGTGGGCAATCCCTGGAGCAATGTTTGGCCGCTCCTGGACCGTCGTGGGATCCCTGGGAGTATGGGAAACTGGGCCTCTGCTGGCTTGCATTCTTCCTGCACGGGCAAAGAGATGTGAACTCGTCGGCGGGGCCCTGCAGACGCAGCCGGACACACGGCGCAACCGCATGCAACGCAGAGCACAAGCATTAGAAAGCCAATGCGGAGGCTCTGCGTCCCTGCGTGCGGTATGCGATGATCCCGTGCACGCCGTTCCAGAAGAATCGAACCTGTCGACAAGCATCCCTCAGATCACACGCCAATTGGCACTGCGGAACAGCTCGCCATGCCACTGCTATCGCGAGGTGCGGCTGGAGCGAGGGGAAAGAGGACGACGGCGAGGTGGAGGGAGAGTCGGCAGCGTGGCTGCCAAAAGCTACTGTCACGAGTACCGCGCCGTACAGCTGCGGAGCCAACAAGAAGTACACGTCGTTCATTTCTAGTCGCGCTCAGTTCTAATTGTGCACGTTTCTAATTGTTCCTGGCCCCCTAGGGGCCAGGAAGAGGCCCAGGATGGAACGATTAGACATGACAGGATTTTGGCCCCCAACAAATCCAAGAACTCTCCAAGCACTAGAAATGAACAATGTGTAAGCATCCACCTGAGAAAGAAGAAAAGGGGAGGCGCAGAAAGTGCAGTCAACACCATAGTCGCAGCCGCACGCTGGGTATTGCAGGCGGAAGCTGCCGATAGCACCGGGCTCAGGTCTGGGCAGGACGAGAAGGAGAGAACTATCATCGCAAGCCCGCGCCCACGTCAGATGATGTTGACGCCTTGGGCGGCAACATTCAGGACCTTCTTAGCCACCTCCAGACCGGTCGAAACCGTCTTTGCGATTCCAGGCCTCATATGGAGAGACCGTGTGGGGGGGGGATGTCGGGGATCTAGCGGGGATCTCGTAGGGCTACATTGGGCAATGGTTGGACCTTCTTGAGCTCCCCTGGGCCGTCTTGGAAATCTCGTGGTGCTGTATTCATGCTGTCTTTGGCCCGCCGTGAACCGTCTTAACTTCGCGGGCCACACAGTGTCCCTCTGGAGGCCCTGTTGGGGCGTCTTTGGACCCTCTTGAGCTACCTGGGAGCCCCTTTGGGCCATCTTGGTGCGATTTGCCAGAGCCGTCCTCGGCGCTGCGACAACACAACCACAACATTTACCGAAACATGCAAGCAACAACCATTGAGAAAGGAACAGCCGGGCGAAGGACACAACCAGATGCAAGTGTGAATACAACTTCATGTGGGACCCAGAGGGCGGATCTCCCGATGGGATCACAAAACATGTGATGGGTGTACCGAAATGGGCTGGGGCATAATGGGCCCTGGAAACGACAGGGCCGTTTTTTTACCGGTTCCGTTTTGCCGTTTTTTTTGCCGGTTCCGACGCCGTTTTTTACCGGTTCCGTCGCTGTTTTTTGACCGGTTCCGGCTCCGGTTCCAATCCTGGAGCCGATTTTTTGCTGTTTCCAGTCGACGTTTTTTTGCCATTTCCATTTTGAAGGGACATTTTTTTGGAAACGGTGAAAAAACGGCCCTGCCGTTTCGGGGGCCCACAAAGGGCTGGGGTACCGTGCGTACCTCCCTCCCCCGCCAGGGCTTCGGCGGGGCCCTGTATGGGGCAGCGAAACGTGTGTGAGGTGTACCGGGATGGGCTGGGGGGGCCTTATGTGCCCCCACTTCCCCCCCCCCCCATCCGCCTGGGGCTTCGGTGGACCCCCCTAAGCCTGAAAGGTCTCGAGAACCCTCCCCCATGGGAGGTGACTTCATATTTTTCGCGGCGGCCTCACTGAAGGACTGGGGTCCCACCGACACGGGAGAACAAATTATTTATTTCCGCGGCACCCGCTGCGCGACGACGACGACGACCGCTCCTTCCTCCTTCTCCTCCTCCTCGTCTTCCTCCTCCTCCTCTTTCTCCTCCTCCTCGTCTCCTCCTCCTCCTCGTCCTCCTCCTCTTCCTCCTCCTTCTTATCCTCCGCGTGTCATTCGGAAGGGAGATGAGAAAGAGGAGGATGAAGAGGAGGAGGAGGAGAAGTAGGAGGAGGAGGGTTTAGGACCATTCTGATCCAACGCCGAGAGAGGCGGGAGTGACCAAAACAAAAAGACCTTTAGCGGTTATGGGGCACAAGGCGTGTGAAGGGCTTGCCGACATGAGCTGGTGGAGAACCGCGTGTCCCCCGTTTCCCGCCCTCTGACTTCGGTGGCACCCCCACTTCAAGGCACTGCGGTGGAACTCCTAATGATGCTACGAGGCGCGGGCTGGGGCCACCGGAATGAAGTGGGTGACAGCATGCTCCCCCCCTCCCCCCTGGGGGGCTTCGGTGGGTTCCCCGATGGGGCCATGAGGCCCCCGACCCCCCCCCTAGGGGTTTCGGTGGGACTCTCTGTGGGGCCACGAATCGTGTGAGGAGTGTTCCGCAATCAGCTGGGGGACCGCATGTGCCCCCCCACCCTCTTCCTTCTCGGGGAGCTTCGGTGGAGCCCCCCATGGGCCACAAATCGTGTGAGAAGTGTACCGACATGGGAATGCGGCGGACAGAGGCGGGAAGGAAGAGAAGGAGTGACGCGGAGCGCTCTCGTCAAAACGAGGTCCTACACTAAAGCATGGTTTGGAACAACATGAAATCAATGTGCTTTGCCTCATGTCCTTTTCGCAAGTGCTCTTAGAAGCGCTCTTACGGTTCTTAAGATGTCGACCCGTCCTGAGACCATCTGAGCGTCCCTTGAGCAATTGGGCCGACGTGCCGTCATCGCGGGCTCCTCTGGAAGGCCACTACGCCTCCAGCAGCCCTCAAAAGGCAACATGTTTGGTTGTTCTGTCATTCCGCTATGGGTGACACTGCGTATCGCGCTTCCATCAAAAAAACATTGTCTCCTGGTGCCCAAGCCGCTGACGTGCCCCGATGCCTTGGGCCCCAACTGGGTTGCGTGTATGGGTGTGTCAAAAATAAACGGCAACCCTGGGCCCGGGAGGCGGTCGCCGCTCACGTTGTACTGTATGCAAGAACCACGCGCGCTACGCGAGCGCGCGCGTTTACGTAGGTTCTAACCGACTGCGAAATCCTTGTCGATAGACCGTGCGCGAATCCACGATTCCTATGATGCCAAAACGGAGGTCCCCCAGGCAACGGCCGTTCTTGGCGCGTGGCTGTGCTGGGCGCTCTGGGGGATCGTTTCGGCTGCTGAGGGCGGTCGCGCAGCCATGCGAGATCGACGTGCGACGCGTCGGATGGCTCCGAATGCTTCCCACACTGCGCAAATGACGCGACTGCCACGGTGGCCGAGGAGGGCCCCAGAGGCGGCCAGCCGCCAGGTCGCCGCCGCCGCAGCCGCCGCCGTCGTCGCGATGATCATCCAGGTGGTCATCGTGGTGGTCGTTGTGGTGGCGGTCGTTTTCCGTGGACGTCATCGTACGATGACGCTTACTGAGGCACGTTGTGCTCTTCTGGGGCCTCCGAAGGCCTCCCGATTCTGGAAATTTGTGAGGGCCGTCGACCGTCGTCGATCGCCCTTCGTCATTGTAATCGTCGCCAAACCTCTGGAGGCCACCGGGATTCCTCGTCGTCGCCGTCGTCGTCGCCGTGGTCGTCGTGGTTGTTGTCGTGGTCGTCGTTGTCGCCGCCAACGTCGTCGCATCCGTCTGCGATCGAGGAGGGGGAAGGAGGGATCCAGGCTCGAATATCGAAGTTTGTGAGTGATCATGTGCCTTCTTGGGGCTCGCGGGGTCGCTTTCGTCGCGGCCTGGGGTTCCCGCCAGCGCTCGTCCAGCGTCCTGGCTCTGGCCGCCGCGGGCGCTACAACCTCGGCCGGCGTCGTCATCGTTGACTCTGCGCGTCTTTGCACGGGTTTGGACGTGGTGGGAATTTCCGTGACCTCCCATGCCAGAACCCGGGGGGCACCTGGAGACCTCTGGGGCCCGTCGGGGGACATCGTCGTCCCCCTCGGCGCTGTCAACACCTCTCCTCCAACTCCTACTCCTCGTCCTCGTCCTCCTTTTCGTCCTGCTCCTCCTCCTCGTTCCTCCTCCTCCTCCTCCTCTCATCCCTCTCCTTCTCCTCCTCCCTCCTCCTCCTCATCCCCCTCCTCCCTCCTCCTCTCCTCTCTACTCTTTCCTCTCCCTCCTCTCCTCCTCATCAATCATCATCCCTCTCTCCTTCTCCTCCCCCTCCTCCTCCTCCTCCTCCTCCTCCTCCTCCTCCTCCTCCTCCTCTGGCTCCTGCGGTGTGATTCGGGAGATCTGATCTGATGGTGATGGAGAGTCTTCTGGGACATCGGCGTAAATGCTCCCAGAGAGGCCTCCAGAAATATCGCTTGGATGCTCCTGGAGAATATGTGGGCTCTGGCTGCGATCCGTCTTATGTGTGTGTATCTTTGGGCAGGCTTGGGGACGGAGGAGTGGGGATGTGCTCTGACGTGTTCGGGGATATCCGATGGCTCTCGGCAGCTTTCCAGAGCCCCTTTTCGAAAATCCTGCAATAGTTCTGGAAAGAAAAACACGTCTACTAAATCATTGTGAAACAACAATACACGAACATGTGTGAGGCCCCCATGAGGCCAACCCACAGAGGCCCCTAAGAAGCCCCCAAGAAGCTCCCAAGGGGCCCTAAGACTGCCCCCACGAGGCAGGCCCCCGAGAGCGCTCCCAAGAGGCCCGAAGAGGCCTCCAAGACGCTATGCCCCCCCCCCCGGGCCAGGACCTCGATGACATGTGGGTGATTCGGGGCTCCGAGACGGTACAAAAGGATTGTCAGACGTTTCCTCATATTCTGGGCCTTCAGGGCACCCTCTTGTGACCACGGCTGGACACATTCAGAAATTCAAGCCTGCGGTTTTTGGAGGGGCAGCCTTCCCACTACCTGTTAAGTTTCCTCTTTCTCTCCCCTCCGAGGCGGAAATTCATACATGACCACCGCCTGGAGGATCAATTTTCGCGGACCTCGCAGGCGGTGGACATGGATATATTCGGGCCCCTGGGGGCCAAAATATATCCGTATCCACCGCCCGCTGGGGCACCGGGACGTCGGTTCCCAGGCGGTGGATATGGATAAATCCCCGCCTCGCATCCCCGTTCTTCCTTTTCGTTATCATCGGTCTCCGAGCGTGGGTGTTGTCGGGGGAGGGTTCCGGATGGCTGCCATCAGTTGGCATGGGCGCCCCTGGCCTCCTCATTAATTAGACCTCCGAGAGTTCCAGACTGATACAGATGCCTCCCAGATTGGCCCAAGAACGTCCTGCGGAGGTCCAGCAGATCGGAGACGTCCCCAGAGTGCTTCCGCATCGCACCAGAAGCCCCCGCGACCCTCCGAGAAGGGACGAGATGCCCCCCAGAGCGCTCCGAGACGGCTCAGAAAGGCCAAAGAAGGCGCCTTCTGGTTTTACCAAGCTCTGGGCCGCAAAGTTGGGCCCAGAAGCCTCCAAGACCGCCCCAAGTCGGCCCAGGAGACGTCGCAAGAGTGCGCACGGCGCCTTCACAAGAACTCAGAGAAGGGCCTCACAGTCGCTGGCACCTCCAGACAGCCCCCAAGGGGCATCCGAGTGCCCGAAAGCTCCCTGGAGCCCTGCGAGCTTCCGGAACGCCTGGGGGCGGCCCAACATTGCTTGAAGAGGGCTCCGGAAGCCCCCATGACGCTTCGACAAGGCCATGAGGGGAACCCCAAGAAGACACCAAGAGGCAAAGGGGGCCTCTTGGGGGCCTCTTTGGGGCCTGTTGGTGCCTCTAGAGGGCCTCTCTGCTCGAAATGCTGGTTCGGGTTCCTTATCTGGGCCTGGGCCCCCTTTTGGAGCCGTCTTTGGGGCCTCTTGGGCGGTCTTGGAAGCCTCTTGAACCGATTTAGGACCCTCTTAGAGGCCTCTTGGGCCGTCAGCGATCTTTGGGGCCTCAAGGTCAGTCTTCGAGTGTCGGGAAGCCGAAAAGGTGAGAAAGCCACACACCTTCAGAAACCGAAGGAAAATCACTGACGTTGGCCTCCTGGGGCCACTCTTGGGGGGCCTCTTGGAGGCCTCTTGGGGCGTCTTGGAGGCCACTTGGACCGTCTGGGGGCCGTCATGGGCTATTCTGGCGGTCTCGGAGCGCGTTTGCAGGCGATCCGTGCCTGAGGAGCAACGACAGGGGGGGAATAGGCATAGTGGGGGATGCATCAACTTGGAATCGGCGATGCATCGTCGACAGCTCGGCGATAGGCCCCCGATGTGTACCTTCCTGGGCGGGGCGGTGCTGTTGGGCCCCCATCGGCGATCACTGGGCGATTGGGGGTCGATACCTCCCCCCCTGTGCCTCCCCCCCCTATCGTTAAGTCGGGCGTGTCCCCATATTTCCCCATAGTTTCTGGGTTTTTGTCTTCCCCCCCCACTTCCCATATTCTCCCATATTTTCTGGGGAATCGCCGATCAATTGTGTCTGTGTTTCTTTCCCTCCTGACAGGAGGGCCGAGCCAAAAAGAACAGCACCAGGAACTTCATGCCTGAATTCATCAGATCGGGGTCTCCAGCAGTCTAGGGAGGTCTACAGGTCTGGGGTGCTACTCTCTAGCACTCAGGAAGGTCAGGGCTGGGGGGTGAGATCGCAGTGGAACGGGCAACCCCCCCCCCCACGGGGAAGTCGGTGCCGGTCTTGTGTTCGTGTCGTGAGCGCGGGCGGGCGGGGCGAAGATGTGCGCGGGCGTGTGCCAACGGGTGTCGGGCTCTAGGGAGGGTCTCCCGCTGGTCGTCGCTCGGCTTCACCTCGATTGCCGCGCTTGGCCTCGCTGTTTCCGGTCGGTGTCCCGTCCGTGTCCAGTCGTTGTCCCGTGGTGTCCCGTCGGGGTCCCGTCGGGGTCCCGTCGGTGTCCCGTCGGTCGTCCCGTCGGCCGTCGCTCGGCTTCACCTCGCTTTCTGCGCTTGGCCTCGCTGCTTCTGGTGGTGTTCCGTCGGTGTCCCGTCGATAACGAGATCGATAGTGATGTCCTTTGGTGTCTCGTGATGTCAAGACTGAGATCGAGAGTGAGAGCGATAGCGAAGTCGATCGATGGATCGATAGTTAGGGAGAGACATCGATCGTGAAATCGAAAATGGTGTTCCGTTGTGTCCCGTGGTGTCGACGGTGAGATCGCGAGTGAGATCGCGAGTGAGGTCGAGAGTGAGATAGTGAGATCGCAGTCGCCATCACTCATCGCCACCACCACCGTCATCATGTGTCGTTGCCAACTCGAGTGCGTAGCGCCAGCATCGTAATTATCACAACCATCGCATTCCCTGATCACACCTATATATACATATATATACATATTATATGTATATAGATAACGCCAGCCCGGGAGCATGCACGACAGTAGTCGCGCAACTCTCCTCAAAATTCATCTAGCTCGTCGTCCTGCGTGAACCTCCGCCTCCTCCTTCTTCTCCTCCTCCTCCGTCCCCTGCACTGCCAGCGGGGGCCCCTCTGGGACGCCGGTGGACATCACGCCCACACAGGCGCACCGTAAGGATGGGCCCGATCACATGCGTGAAAACGTGCACGGCAGCAGTAGCAGGATCACGGGTCCTCTTCCTCCACCCCCTCGCTGGGTTTACTCTGGTCCTCCTCCTCTTCCTCCTCTTCCTCCTGGTCCTCCTCTTCCTCCTCCTCCTCGTCCTCCTCCGCCTCCTTCACATCATAATCATCATCCTCATCATCATCATCATCATCATCATCATCATCATCATCATCATCACCATCACCATCACCATCACCATCATCATCATCATCAGCATCCTCATACCCATCCTGATCCTCATCATCATCATCAGCATCATCGTCATCCTTATCATCATCATCATCATCATCATCATCATCATCATCATCATCATCATCATCATCATCATCAGCATCAGCATCATCATCATCGTCTTCATCATCTTAAGCATCATCATCAGCATAATCAGCATCAGAGTCAACATCATCATCATCATCATCATCAGCATCATCATCCTCATCAGCATCATCGTCTTCATCATCTTAAGCATCATCATCATCAGCATCATCATCAGCATCATAGTCAACATCAGTATCAGCATCAGCATCATCATCATCATCCTCATCAGCATCAGCATCGTCATCATCATGCGTTGCCTGAGGCAGCCTCATCAAGGAGCGGTGGTGGGCATCAGACCCACACAGACTGCTCCGCAGGGGCCTGCCATGCGCGAACTGGTGCGCAGGATCTGGCAGAGGAGCACCACTCCTCTGCCAAGCGAACGCTTCTTCCTCGACTCGGATCGGCGCATGCAATATACAAACACATCTGAATTGTACGCGGCGCTCTTGCTCCTGGGAGGGCGGGCAGGTGCGAGAGGAGGGATGGGGGATGATGCATGGGGAAGGGAAGGAGCAGTTGAACAGAGGAGGAGTGGGAGGAGGCAGAGGAGTGCCCTGGAATCCCACCAGCCATTGAGGCGGGTGGTTTGACGAGTTCGACATTCCAGCCTCCGTCCCCCTCCTGCCCCTACCCCTCCTATTCCTACTCCTCCCTCCAGACTCCACGGATAAAGGTTTCTTCTCCCCCTATCCCTTGTGGTCAGGAAGAGCCCTGGTCGCAAATCGTTGGAGCGTCCAAATTGGCCCCAAGAGGGCCCCAGATGTCCAAAGCTGGCCTTGAAGATGGTATTGGCAACAGATCCCGAGATGGTTCTAGACGACCTCTCGCACGCCTCTGGGAGGCTCAAACACCGTCTCAAGACGGCTCCAAGTGGCCACGAGGCCACCCATGGACACCCCGAGAGGCCCAACTCTTTCCAACACACATGGGCAACCTAAGTGGTGTACAGTCTCTCGCTTTCGTTTCCGATGGGCTTCTGAGGCCTCAAGATGGCTCAACGAAGGCCCCAAGAGTGCCCCAACACGCGCCCGAGACGGGCCCAAGATCCTGCAAAAGCGTCCCAAGGGGGTTCCAATAATCGTCGCTGGGCCTTCCGAACGGTGGGTGGCGGGCGTAGGTATGTACATCCCTTCTTGGATGGACGGCCCAAGCAGGTTCGGCCATCAAGACCCCTCAAGAGGGCCCAAGTGAGCCCCAAATGACCCCCAAGAGAACCCCAAAGGGCCCCCCAAGTGGCCCCAGGATGTCTCCAAGAGAATCCACGTTCACCACTGTAGGCTCCATCGCTTCGCTATATGCGTGTCTACGCTTCTGTTGCTCCCATCGTACTAAAGGACTAAAGCCCAAAAATGGTTTCGAACACCCAGGCAAGTATCGAAACTGCGTCGAAGAAGTATCGACTGCCAGGGCCCGACACGTGAAAATCCTAAAGGTTCGGTACTTTCCTGGTGTTCGAACTTTTTTCTGTTGATCAAGGCTGAAGCCGGTTGGAACATTATAAGCCACTCCTCTGGAGAACTCCCAACTCCCCTGGACATCGTTTCTGGACAGGGCTCGTGCCAAGGCGCGGGGCGTGAAGACTTCACGGCTGTGCGGCAAAGAAACAACTACAAGGAAGAGCAGGGAGGGCGATCAGGGCGAGGAGCAAGAGAAATCAACTCTCCTCCGCCTTGGTGAAAGGCTTTTGTAGACCAAGATGTCCGACAAGGCCGCGACGTCCATCCACGATCCACCGCAAATCATCCGTCAAGGCACGCAAGGGTGCGCACACGACAATCGTGGCACAGCTTTTCTTTACAGTTCCTCTGGCTGCTCGTCCTGCGTGATCCTCCTCCTCCTCCTCCTCCTCTCCTCCTCCTGCATTGCCCCTGGGAGCCTCTCTGGGCCTGGAAAGTCTGCATCGGAGGATGGGGTGCCAACGGGTGTCGGGCTCTGGGGAAGGTCTCCCGCTGGTCGTCGCTCGGCTTCACCTCGATTGCCGCGCTTGGCCTCGCTGTTTCCGGTCGGTGTCCCGTCCGTGTCCAGTCGTTGTGCCGTGGTGTCCCGTCGGGGTCCCGTCGGGGTCCCGTCGGTGTCCCGTCGGTCGTCCCGTCGGCCGTCGCTCGGCGTCACCTCGCTTTCTGCGCTTGGCCTCGCTGCTTCTGGTGGTGTCCCGTCGGTGCCCCGTCGATAACGAGATCGATAGTGATGTCCTGTGGTGTCTCGTGGTGTCAAGACTGAGATCGAGAGTGAGAGCGATAGCGAAGTCGATCGATGGATCGATAGTTAGGGAGAGACATCGATCGTGGAATCGAAAATGGTGTTCCGTTGTGTCCCGTGGTGTCGACGGTGAGATCGCGAGTGAGATCGCGAGTGAGGTCGAGAGTGAGATAGTGAGATCGCAGTCGCCATCATTCATCGCCACCACCACCGTCATCATGTGCCGTTGCCAACTCGAGTGCGTAGCGCCAGCATCGTAATTATCACAACCATCGCAGGTGTCATCAGTTGGTTCTTTCTTCCCTGATCACACCTATATATTCATACATCGGCGTTACAAGAGCTTCGTCATACAATAAAAATCGGTAATATTGCATAAGCAAAGACAAATCCCACCCCGGTGGGATTTCTAGAGCCGTGTGAACTTGCGTCGGGATTTCAAAATGTCCCGTTTTAAATCTATACTATTATAGTAAGGGGTGAAATCCCACCTTTAGAAATCCCGGATCTTTGATCCGACCGCTCTTGACTCGGTCCGCTAGGATTCTAGGGCGGAAGGGGGGGCCAGCTCGGCGCGGCCAGGGCAGTGGTCAGCCTCTGCCCGCGTGCTCACGCGGAAGGAAGACACGAAACCCATGCCACCTTGAAGCTCTCATGAAACGAGACGAACTTTGTAACGGCGTAGCGGTATTTCAGACACCGCGCGGCGAGCGTCGATCCCCTGGAAATCTGGCGTGGCAGTAGCGGGTCTAACGCAATGGCGATCATGGCGGATGATGCGCAGGGTTGCGCGCGATGAAATCGATGGGTGAATGATGATGCGTCGCCATCGTGGATCCCTCACGGTATTTCAGACACCGCGCGGCGAGCGTCGATCCCCTGGAAATCTGGCGTGGCAGTAGCGGGTCTAACGCAATGGCGATCATGGCGGATGATGCGCAGGGTTGCGCGCGATGAAATCGATGGGGTGAATGATGATGCGTCGCCATCGTGGATCCCTCATCGGCGTTGCAAAAGTTTCGTCATAACATAAAAGTCGATCATCTTGCATAAGCAAAGACAAATCCCGCCCCGGTGGGATTTCTAGAGCCGTGTGAATTTACGTCGGGATTTCAAATTGTCCCGTTTAAATCTATACTATTATAGTAAGGGATGAAACCCCACTTTTAGAAATCCCGGATCTTTGATCCGACCGCTCTTGACTCAGTCCGCTAGGATTCTAAGGGGGAAGGGGGGGCCAGCTCGGCGCGGCCGGGGCAGTGGTAGCCTCTGCCGCGTGCTCACGCGGAAGGAACACGAAACCCATGCCACCTCAAGCTCTCATGAAACGAGACGAACTTTTGTAACGGCGTCGCGTTCGCGGGATTTCGACACCGCGCGGCGAGGCGTCGATCCCATGAAAATCTGGCGTGGCAGTAGCGGGTTAAACGCAAGGCGTCATGGCGGATGATGCGCCGGGGTGCGCGGCGATGAAATCGATGGGGTGAATGATGATGCGTCGCCACGTGGACACCCTCACTGGGCGTTATTTGAGACACCGCGCGGCGATCGCGGATACCCGTGGAAATCTGGCGTGGCAGTTAGCGGGTCTAACGCAATGCGATCATGGCGGAGATGCGCAGGGTTGCGCGCGATGAAATTCGATGGGTGAATGGAGGATGGCGTCGCCATCGTGATCCCTCATCGGCGTTACAAAAGTTTCGTCATAAAATAAAAGTCGATCATCTTGCATAAGCAAAGACAAATCCCGCCCCGGTGGGATTTCTGGAACCGTGTGAATTCACATCGGGATTTCAAAATGTCCCGTTTTAACTCTATACTATTATAGTAAGGGATGAAATCCCACTTTTAGAAATCCCGGATCTTTGATCCGACCGCTCTTGACTCAGTCCGCTAGGATTCTAGGGGGGAAGGGGGGCCAGCTCGGCGCGGCCAGGGCAGTGGTCAGCCTCTGCCCGCTTGCTCACGCGGAAGGAAGACACGAAACCCATGGCCACCTTCAAGCTCTCATGAAACGAGAACGAACTGTTGTAAACGCGTGCGTATTTCAGGACACGCGCGGCGAGCGTCGATCCCCTGTGAAATTCTGCGCGTGCAGTAGCGGGTCTAGAGGCAATGGCGGATTCATGGCGGAGGAGCGCAGGGTTGCGGCGATGAAATCCGATGGGGTGAATGATGATGGCGTCGCCATCGTGGAACCCCACGGTCTTCAGACACCGCGCGGCCGGAGCGTCGATTCCCCTGGAAATCTGGCGTGGCGTAGCGGGTTTTCTAACGCAATGGCGATCATGGCGGACGATGCGCAGGGTTGCGCGCGATGAAACCGATGGGGTGAATGATGATGCGTCGCCATCGTGGATCCCTCAGCGGTATTTCAGACACCGCGCGGCGAGCGTCGATCCCCTGGAAATCTGGCGTGGCAGTAGCGGGTCAAACGCAATGGCGATCATGGCGGATGATGCGCAGGGTTGCGCGCGATGAAATCGATGGGGTGAAT